ACGGGTGCACGATGAATCCACTAATATGACCCATTTTACCTCGCCCAATGACTAAAAACCCCGGTCCCTTTTTCAACCCTTTACCTAACGGAATCGAAACGTTCTTTCCCACATTATATATTTAACCTGAAATTTCTCATAAAAAAAAGAGGTGAAAAATAAAAGGAAGTACACACCCAAGGGCACATCCTGCCGATTGAGTCCAAGGTGCAGTCTTCGGGTATAAAAATCCACTTAAACCGATTCATCACTTGAAATCAATTACTTTTCCATAAAAAAAGTGGAAAAATTAAAAAAAATGACAAATCGATTTGAAAAAATCAAAAATATTTTTATTCTATGATGTATTTTAATTTCCGTTCCCGAACCCTGGTCATAACCCCATTTTACTCCACAACTCCTTGAGAAATCGATAAAATCGTTTTCTCATTTAAGATTTCGTCCCCCGATATACAAAAAAATTGCAGGGCAAAATGGGTTCATGACCAAGATTTGGAGAAGGAAATTTTCGTGGCTTTCAGATGAAGCAATGAAAATTGCAATTTTCGGAGATTTTTCATTTTCGAACCGCCTTAGCGCTAAGTGAGAGCTTCCATTTTTCCTCTCTAGGAGACCAGCTGGCGTCTCGAGTCTTCCGGAAGACTAATAATGAGGGCGAATGTTGGATTCACACCCGGAAAAGGGGTGACAAACCCCTTTCCATGTTTTCTTAAAAGCAAGTTGACACCTCGAAACATTCTAAAATACACGCAACACATTTTTTCATTTTCTCTCATTTTTTTACAATTCTCTTTTCAGGCTGATGAGAATGGATGGGAGTCGGACGGGCCATATGGCTTGCGGTGAGTAGATAAAAAATATTCATATTTCACACGCTGCAAGCGGTATTTTCGGGGTTCTAAAATTAATCGAGGGCTCTGTTTACTTTCGGTAGTTCATTTCCAATTAATTCTGGGATGAATTATCATTCCCTTTGGATAATTCCGCGTTTATCTCGAGAACGACGGGTTTTCGAAGGAGAATGTGTTAGACATTTTTTGTAGCTGAGAAAATTTGCAGGAAAAAATGTCGAGGGATATTTTCTCCTAAAACCACTCTTTAAAGAGAGAATTCAAGAGTTAGTGGAAAGAATCTAGTCAATTCTACGATTAGGTTTCGAAATTTTTGACGAATTAGTTGACTTTTTTTCCTACTGGAGGAGATTAGGGATGTCCAATGTCTGTTGGGGGTTGTCCCAGCGTCACCCCTATCACAGATGCCCCTTGGACACCAGTGGTGGCTCTGGTACGCATGCTTCGTCCACGCGCAACTCCATGAAATTCACTCCTCTCGATCAGGTCCGGAATTCCTCCACAATATTAATTGTTTCATCTCGGTAATGATTCAGTTTAGGGGAAAATTCCAGAAAACATTTCATGTCGGAAATTTTCGCAGCTACAAAAAAGATACAGAAGATTTTTGTCATAAGCCTATCGGTTTTTGAGATATCCGCGAAAAACATGTATTGTTTATATCAATTGCCATCCATCTTTATTATTCAATTCTTCTAAATTTTATTGCGAAGTAATAACCAAAAAAATTTATTGAGAGGTTAATCGTTGGTCATACTAATCGAGCTCTAAAAAATGATCTAATCGATCATTTAAACACGTCAATTAATTGATAATTAATTAGAGAGATCGATATTTCAATAATTGACAAAAACTCGTTAATTTCCAAAGAAATTTTTTGGTTTTCAATTCAATTTAACAGTACATAACGGAAATTCCTTATTAATCGATTGATCTCGGTAATGATCCATTTTAGGGAAAAATTCCAGAAAACATTTTCTGTCGGAAATTTTCTCAGCTACAGAAAATATCTAGAGGATTTTTGTCATAAACCTACCGATTTTTGAGATATCCGTGAAAAACATGCATTGTTTTTGTCAATTTCCATCCATTTTTATTATTCAATTCTTCCAAATTTTATTGCGAAGTAATAGTCAAAAAAGTTTATTGAGAGGTTAATCGTTGGTCATTCTAATTGTGGGGTGTATAATGATCATTTAAACACGTCAATTAATTGATAGTTAATTAGAGAGATCGATATTTCAGTAATTGACAAAAAATCGTTAATTTCCAAAGAAATTTTTTGGTTTTCAATTGAAATGAAAATTTCGAATACATGTGAGAATGTACTTTTTAAAATTAATACTCATCAATACATGGATTTACCGAAACTGTAAGAACGTTCGAAATTCAACAGTATACCACGGAAATTCCTTATTAATCGATTTATGTCGGTAATGATTCATTTTAGGGAAAAACTTCAGAAGACATTTTCTGTTGGAAATTTTCTCACATACAAAAACAGTCTTGAGGATTTTTATCATAAACCTAACGGTTTTTGAGATATCCGCGAAAAGCATGCATTGTTTTTATCAACAATTGCCATCCAATTTCATTATTCAATTCTTCCAAATTTTATTGCGAAGTAATCACAAAAAAAAATTATTGAGAGGTTAATCGTTGGTCATTTTAATTGTCGAGTGTATAATGATCATTTAAACACGTCAATTCATTGATAATTAATTAGAGAGATCGATATTTCAATGATTGACAAAAAATCGTTAATTTCCAAAGGAATTTTTGGATTTTCAATTGAAATAAAAAATTCTAATATATGTCAGAATACACTTTTTGAAATTAATACTCATCATACATGGATTTACTGAAACTGTGGGAACGTTGGAAATTCAACAATCCACAACGGAAATTCAAGAACCCGAGACAATCGGGTGAGAGTGTCGTCTGGTTCGTGATCGAATTATCGGAATCCCTTGCATTCCACCGATCGTATTCACGAGTTGAGTCTCAAGACCATTGACCGGTTAAATGAACGAATGTAAAATAAATTAAACAAAACAGATGTGAGAAGGGGGAGGGGTGGGAATCACAGGGTGACGGAACTGGAAATGATCTTTCTTCATTTAAATTTCGATATTTAGGATTTCCTATTTTGACGATTATATCGAGAACGAAACGATTCAGGAGAAAATGCTTTCCGACATTTTTGTGGAGTATTATATTGCCGAGGGAAAGGTTATTCTGTTATTTCCTGAAAACAGAACAAATTAAGGGGATGGAAATGCATTCGGATAAAAAAATCTGAAGAATTTTAATTAAGGTAGAGATTTGATCGGTAAAAAGACTATCATAGTTTTAAAATTACAGTCATCTGTTGTGCAAAAATATCCACTTTCTAATCATTGAACAATCATGATTATTTATGTCATAATTTAAATACAATAGACAAGAAAATGCCGACGAAAATATCACAATAAAAATGCGATAAAGATGATTTTTTGAAAACAGAGAGTCAACTTTTTTACAATCTAAATTCTAAAATCCAAAAACAACAAAATTTCAGGATAAAATCCTAAAAAATTTCGAATTTAGGAAAAACAATACATTTGAATGAAAAATACAACAACTAAATGGGAAAAAAATCAAAAATTAAAAAAATTTTGAAAGATCAACAAAAAATGCCGAAGGAAATTGCACAAAAAAATGAATAAATAAAGAATAAAAACACTAAAATTTCCGGATGAAATCTTGAAAATTTTGAATTCAGGAATAAAATTGCATGAAAAATTACAACTTTTAGAGGAGAAAAAGAAATGAAAAATTGAAAATAAAATCAAAAACGCAAAATTGTATTGCATATTTTCGGCATTTTCTGACTTTTTGGATCCTACTGGATCGATACAACTCAAAAAATCCAAAACTTAAATGGGGACGATTACAAAGCTTGCATGCAAAAGCAAAAAAAAACATGCTCTTAATGTAAAAAAAATTGAATCAATTTTTAAAAAAATACTGAATCCCGCATTCGCCTCCTCACCCTCCCCCCACCCGGGGCGGGGTGTACCCGACAGGGCGTCGCGTTCGCCCCTTCCCCCCTCCTCTCCCCCCCACCCCGCAAACCCGTCAAAAACTCGTAACCTCTACCATCCTCCGGTAGAGGCTCCCCTCTCACCCGACTCCCGACCGCATTTCAGTCGTCTCGCGCCGCTCGAGTCACGCGTGTCGGACTTTTATCCCCCAAAACATACTCACGCTTGCACAACACCAGCCACCCCCACCCTCTGAACCTCCCCTCAAAAAAAAAAA